GCCTTGGTTGCCAACTGTTTTCGTGGAGCCTTTCCACCGGTAGATTTACGAGCGGTTTGCTTAGTACGAGCCATTGCGTCTATACAACAGAACGGAAATAAACCGAACGGTACGTATCGAATACACAACGAAAAATGAGCTTCGCGCCGAGAGAGACCGGTATTTATGCTGTTACGGCGCGCGCTGGATGCTTCTGATTGGCTGGGTGCCGGCGGGTGGGGGTACTGCAACGGGCACGCTATAAAAACGCGACTCCGGCCGGTGAGAGCATCATTCGAGTTTTGCATTCAGACGTTCGCTTACTACGAGTATACCAACTGAATCATGACTGGTCGCGGAAAGGGAGGAAAAGGATTGGGAAAAGGAGGAGCAAAGCGTCATAGGAAGGTTCTGCGTGATAACATCCAGGGTATCACAAAGCCTGCCATCCGTCGTCTGGCTCGTCGTGGCGGTGTGAAGCGTATTTCTGGTTTGATCTACGAAGAAACTCGAGGTGTACTGAAGGTGTTCCTTGAGAACGTTATTCGTGACGCTGTAACTTACACCGAGCACGCCAAAAGGAAGACTGTGACTGCTATGGATGTCGTCTACGCATTGAAGCGTCAAGGAAGAACTCTGTACGGCTTTGGCGGTTAAACGCTACTCAAAAAGTCTACACAAACGGCCCTTTTCAGGGCCACCAAATTTTTTAAACAAGGAACCCTCTGTTTTAATAACATTCTATTGATAAAAAGTTAACCATTTAAATGTACTTAACAACTGAATTACTCTTTGATATGTCTAACATAATACGTGTATGTTGAAGTTCTGTTTTAATTACATGTTAAAATTATAGTTTGTAATCCCATGATGCTCGTTCAACTAAAGTTTTGGAGTAAGTGCTATGCGATTCCTCACACTCCTCTTACCAAAAGATAAAACGCCAACCGAACTCCGTGGCCAGATCATTCGAGAACGCCCTTATATCTTCGTACGCGTTAATGCAGCACTATGACGTCGAGTCACGAGACCCGACTCTGTCGGCCACCGCCAAAAGAGGCGCATCAGACCTTTATGGCCTTAACCATAACATCCGTGACTGTTAGAATTCGTCACGCATCCAGCTATCGGTTACCACCGTTTCCCAAACGACGACAGACCTTCCACACGGGTCGACGCTTACATACAATGTCTATTCTATACGAAGTAAAGACGAACTCAGAGCCATAAGTCGGCGTCTTCGACCCTAACCTAAAATTTGTTACCTCATGTTCTACAGCATGAAACGAGGTTCATTCTTAACTATGATAGGATAACTTAAAAACACTTTTTTCAATGCAAGAATATTTTACGGGGATCTAAAGTGAATAATTCATGTAACAATTGTATATTGAATATAAAAACTGTACACAAAAGTTTGAAAACCGACTCTGATAGGTTTAGTGTTCTAAACCCTATTTCACAATCTTATTATTTTCAAAAATTCATATGCGTTCAAAGAATACTTTTTCAAGAAGTGTATAATTTTATATAACATCTATATTATACAAAATATAAAATAGTAACAACATACAATAACGCAAATAATCCATTTCATATCCGTAGTTTGTAGGTAAGACTCCGTTCAAGCTAAGAGTGCTCACAAAAATCTGAACATTCTGTTTGTTTTTTATAAGTTAAAGATGACCAGCAAGCCATTTTTGTTTTTTAACACAATAACGAAATTTTAATTAAATATTCTTATCAAGGATCAGGAATTTAATATTATTATAAAATTCTTAGAAATTCAATTCTAGAAACCAGAATATTTTCCACGTATTGAGAAAATTGTTGGCCCTAAAAAGGGCCGTTTAATCTAATAACGCTAAAGCGTTTACTTGGAGCTGGTATACTTGGTGACTGCCTTGGTTCCTTCTGAAACAGCGTGCTTGGCTAATTCACCAGGTAGCAAAAGCCTCACAGCAGTCTGGATCTCCCGAGATGTGATGGTCGATCGCTTGTTGTAATGAGCCAATCGGGAAGCTTCGGCAGCAATGCGTTCGAAGACATCATTGACGAAGCTGTTCATGATGCTCATAGCCTTGCTGGAGATTCCGGTGTCAGGATGGACTTGCTTCAAGACTTTGTAGATGTAGATAGCATAGCTCTCCTTCCTCCTCCTCTTCTTCTTCTTGTCGGTCTTGCTGATGTTCTTCTGGGCTTTACCAGCCTTCTTCACAGCCTTTCCGCTTGCCTTGGGTGGCATGGTTTAGAATCAGATTCAAAAACGCACGAGAGCTCTGAACTTCACGAAGGATGCAGATAGAATGATTTGGACGCCGGCGCGAGCCGGTATTTATAGCGAAAAGGGGGAGCGCCGGTCGACCAATCACGTTTGAGCTCGCGCTCCAGACCATCTACTGGCCCTCGCAGCCGTAAATCTGGCGTCGTTCGATTGCGCGTCGAACTAAGCATTCAAGAATTACAAAACCTAGTGTCTAAAAATTTATTTTATTGCCATCAGCTCCTAGAATAACCTTTTTGAACAACCACACGCCAAATATAAGTAAGCATTTTCCCAGAACAATTATCAAAGAGAAAGTAACAACTTTCCCTTTACTAAAACTACACTAGTTTAATCTAATGGTAACACTCACACTAAATAACAATATACGACACAGATTTCCCAGCTACTAAGAGAAGTCAAAAACATACAAACAGAGATGTATTAAGTTGTCCTAAAAGTTTCTTTCGTGAGTTGCATTCAATTGTTTTGTGTGGCAGTGTTTCTATAAATAGACAATCTAATTTCATAGGTATTCATGTTGTAACAGTAATGGAGCGAAATGAATTGTACACAATTTTGTAATGTAACATAAAACATAAAATATTGTGTATGAATTAATTATTAATAAAACGAAAGAAACTTTTGGGACAACCTAATATATGAACGTTGTATAATGATTTATTCGCAACGTGTAATACGCATTATCAACGTATAACGCGTATTCTATGATAAAGCATTACAAAATCAGTAGTTCTAATTGGACCTTATCCCATTCTGTGCATCTTATGCGTGCGAATTGAAGCTAACGAAGACTTTGTAAGCTCTTAAGTTGCAGTAGGACCTATCGACAGATCACACTTGCAAACAGGGGTTATTACCGCGACGTTTAGAAAGCGCATTTGTGGGAAACTGCCACCCAGATGCGAAGAACCGTTAGTTTACGGCCCTCAGGTACTTCCGACCCTGACCGCTATACTTGCTACGCATTTCTCTAAACGTGAAACAGTCTTTCGTCTCTCGATAAGTAAATGGATCAAATTCTTGTTTAACACGTTCAGACTAAAACTCTTGAAAATTTCTACCGTGTTTAAATTTTGTTTACAGACTATTGAATGCTGCGTAATGAAACATTTATTTTGGTATTTAGTTCTGTAACTTCATCGAAATCCAAGTATTTTATTTAAATTCATTTTCTGTGACACTTGACTTTCAGAATTAATAGTTTTCGTTTTTCAGTGAAAAGCACTGTCGCCCATATATGGGTGACGTGGCGATCAACGTGTTAAACATAAATTTCTTTTAGTAAATAAGAAATATTGAAGAACTGTTCGTTACTTTTTCATTCATTGCCGCAAATGGATAAAATTCTTGTTTAAACATAAAATTCGATTAACAAATAAGAAATATTTAAGAACTGTTCGTTACTTTTCCTTAATGTTCGTTACACTAGAATTCAAAGAAAATGTTGTCTACTCTGGTCGCTGGTCATTAATTGTTCAGGCAGGTATATGATACATGTCGAAGTCTGTTCAGCTGTAGTGAACTATTTAAAATTAAGATGTTCATCTTCGTAATAAAGTACTTTCTTCGTACAACGCAAAATAATTTTGCAATCTAGCACGATAATTTAAAATTATGAACATTTCCTTTGCAAGGATGCATTTGATACCTAGAAAGAAAGAGGCAGTGGGTAGTTCTACGTGGTAAGAATGTGGTGGCCCTGAAAAGGGCCATTTATGTTTGAATGTTGTTATTGCAGAGCGCAATTATTTCTTTGCTGGAGCCTTGACCGATTTCGATGTAGCGGTCTTCTTCGGCTTAGGAGTCCTGGTCTTCGCTGCAGGAGCTTTGGCGGTCTTCCTCGACTTGGACATGTTCTTAGCTTCTGTGGCGGTCTTCGCTTTAGTTGCCGCTGCTTTCGTTGCGGTTTTCTTCACTGCGGCTGCCTTCTTTTCTACTGGTTTCTTAGCTGCTGGCTTCTTCACGGGGGCGACTTTCTTTGCCACGGTCTTCTTCTCGACCTTCTTCACCTCGGCTTTCTTCGGTGAACGCAGTTCCTTCTTAGTCTTCAAAGTCTCCGACGGCTTTCCAGCTGATAGCTTGAAGGACCCAGAAGCTCCCTTGCCCTTGGTCTGTACGACGGCACCAGATGTTACGGCGGCTTTCAAGTATCGCTTGATGAACGGAGCGAATTTTTCTCCGTCAACCTTGTAAGTGGAGGCGATAAACTTCTTGATGGCCTGGACAGACGATCCTTTTCGGTCTTTCAATTCCTTAATGGCGGCGTTCACCATTTCCGAAGTCGGTGGATGAGACGCTTTCGCACGTTGTGTCTTCGACTTGCTTTTCGCTGGCTTCTTCGCTGCCGTAGCTGAATTGCTCTCACCCATTTCGACGGATGCGTTTGCGGATGCGTTTTTGTCGTCCATTCTCTCTCAACAAAGATCAAACAATCTCTGATAAACGTACAACGGAAAGTGACTTTAAACAGCTCGAGCGACTCGAATGCGATTGCTGGAGTGAGTATATTTTTGCACCCGGGAGCGCGGAGGTTCTTTCTCGGGCACGGACCATGGAGAGAGACTGATCCAATATGTCGGACGCCGCAATTCCTTGACACCGACCAACCGGTAAACGAACCTTCTATTTCGACGTTTATTTCTCCTCGTTGAAATCGTATTAACGAATACCCGAACCATGGAAATTTAGCTGCGTGTGTCTAGTTTTAATTGTGGTTTAGTTTTCGCCCGTATTCCCTTCCTGAGGCCGTATATCGCGCCAGATAGTGACGACCGTCTTTTTGCAGCGATAGTACATCGCGTAGAAAAAGTTAAAAATCTACGTAATTACTCGTAAACACGGTCAATGATAGTATTGAAAATCGAACTAGAGGCACCGATGCTGATTTACATACCGTCATTCATACGGTCTTTGTATCAGATGTGGAGAAAACTCCGTTAACATTTCACCGACTGGTGATGCGCGATTTAAACCACGGAACGTTCTGTCGTTGGTTTAAAATCAATTATCGTGAACACGTTAAACATTCGTTTCATACTTTTCGAATGTGATTTTCATACGTTTTGTAGAGTTATAATATTTTTTTGAATACATTTATCGTATTCGGTTCGTATGTAACAGTTCCTATTTGATGTGCTTTCATCGAAAGCAAAATATGATGTATAGGAAAGTCTACAGTACAGAACAAGGAAGATGAATAAGGATTTAGCAATATTTTTGTAATATCGTTCTGATTATATTGTTTGGTATTGCGTTTTTATTATAAATTAAGATTATTTTTTTTTTAAATTATGAGATCACCTCGAATCAAAAACTTCAATCAGTCGCATACAGAAAAGACTTTCCTTGCGAGTATTATTGAAATCGTTTCTTGTATTGTGTCCCGTGCCAATTTTTTCGTATAGATTATTTAAGTATTTGAACGATTAGAAGCTGTTATTTATTTTAATTTTAGCCTTTCTCAATATTCTTGTATTTATCTTCTTGGAAATGGCCACATGTGTAAGCAGGTGACAGAAACCCTGATCGTTTCAATAATTTATACATCAACATGTTGCTATTAGTGGTTTGCAAGAAAGTTGTACAATATATTACACACATATCAGATGAAAATGGATCTCCTAGATTCTTAATTTTACATTTCTTACATTCAGTGTAAACCTTTCGCTTTATCAGGAAAAGATCCAGAAAGGATCGAGTAGTTACAAAATATGTGAATATTCTGTAAATATTAAATCATATTGAAAAAGTTACTGAGTAATGCTTATTACTGTTTGTCCATTATAACTCTGCATAATAGAAACAAATTAAAGTATGAGAGGTTCATGAATCCTGCGAGTCACGACACCTGGCGTAACAAATAGGAACTATTAATTACTAGTGTCTTTGATCCTAGACATCGTAAAATTCCCTATATAGATACTTCTCGGGTCTACCAATCAGAATTGTCGACGATTAGCAACAGTTGCTCCATCTATAGTACAGAACAGTGTCATGATATTCTACAATGACAATTTATAGGAAATTAAACGTCACTATTAAATAAATACTCTACGAATAATTTTTTAACACTGCCAAATGAACATTGTCCCTTAGGCGTTATTGGGGCGACGTTGTGTGTGCCTGACACCGATCATAGGTTGTAAGAATCCATGGTGAAGATCATAAACATTTTTAACTGCACTCAGTTCAATGTCCCTAGTATTATATTTTATACCTAATTATGAAGGTGTGTATTAACACACAATGCAATTTTCTTTTCTGAACTGTAAAAGATTTAAGTCGACTACGACATATATATTTGTGAAATAAGAATTGTATGTGAGAACGCTGTTACATAGAACCGTTGTTATAGGTTATAGTACTTATGTAATATTTCGATTATAACCCTTGCAAAGCATGTATTATGCAAGATGCTTCTAAAATCATTGGTTAAACATTAACAGTATATTTGACTGATTATATGGATAAAAAACAGCATTAAAATATGAGCCCGTGATTGCTTTCTTTCCAAACTATAGTCATGCTATTGTATTTCACAGGAAGCATTCCCAATGAACTAGCTGAGCAAGAAACTTTCACAATAATCGTGTTGTTCATTGTTGAATACGTTAGAAATTTCTGAGCATAGTACAATACTAAGGTCACAGTATCAATTATTCTCAACATAAATCGATATTTAACTATGACGCTTCACATTTTGCTATCGTAGTTGTTTATCGTCAACTATTCAGAGGCTTGATAGTTTTGTATAAACGTTATCCTTTCTGCTTGTGTACGAATTTCAATAATTATTCTAAAAGAAACTTCACCTATCTATAGTGCAATTTTTTCAATATGATTAATAGAATACACGACTAAAATTGAAAATATTTAATTCGCTTATGTATATAATTGATCGCGACACCTTACGATATTGCAATGTACTGCGCAAGTCAAGTAGTAGCAAAACACCGCGAAAAACACCCATACAATGGTTTCGATTTTACAACTATTTTTAAAGATTGTTACGTATTTCTGAAATTTCGAGTTCGTTTTAATCATTCACGAACAGATTATTGAACAGAGGTTGTTTCTTGTTTTTAGAAATTTGTTGGCCCTGAAAAGGGCCGATTAATCTAATAACGCTAAAGCGTTTACTTGGAGCTGGTGTACTTGGTGACTGCCTTGGTTCCTTCTGAAACAGCGTGCTTGGCTAATTCACCAGGTAGCAAAAGCCTCACAGCAGTCTGGATCTCCCGAGATGTGATGGTCGATCGTTTGTTGTAATGAGCCAATCGGGAAGCTTCGGCAGCAATGCGTTCGAAGACATCATTGACGAAACTGTTCATGATGCTCATAGCCTTGCTGGAGATTCCGGTGTCAGGATGGACTTGCTTCAAGACTTTGTAGATGTAGATAGCATAGCTCTCCTTCCTCCTCCTCTTCTTCTTCTTGTCGGTCTTGCTGATGTTCTTCTGGGCTTTACCAGCCTTCTTCACAGCTTTTCCGCTTGCTTTCGGTGGCATCTTCAAATACTCTTCGTAATAAACGTAACGTGTGTATTACTGGAGCGAGAACTCGATACTGAGTGCTGAACCACCGGTGACGCCCCATATATATCGTGAAACGTGCTAGTACCGGCGCGCCAATCACGTTCGAGCTGCGCCGCCATTGGCTGCGTGGCGCAACGCCGAATGGGTATATAAGCGAAGCATATTCGTGTCAGAGCATCATTTCTGTGGAGTTCACTGTACTGTTCGTTTCGAGTTTACTTCTTCAGTTCGCTAAAAATGTCTGGACGTGGCAAAGGTGGTAAAGCCAAGGGAAAGTCAAAGTCCCGTTCTAATAGAGCTGGTCTTCAATTCCCTGTTGGTCGTATACATCGACTTCTGCGAAAAGGAAATTACGCTGAACGTGTTGGTGCAGGAGCACCAGTCTATCTTGCTGCTGTCATGGAATACTTGGCCGCTGAAGTATTAGAATTGGCTGGAAATGCTGCTCGTGATAACAAGAAGACTAGAATCATTCCGAGGCATCTCCAACTCGCCATCCGTAATGACGAGGAGTTGAACAAATTGTTGTCTGGTGTAACCATCGCTCAAGGTGGTGTATTGCCGAACATTCAAGCTGTATTGTTGCCGAAGAAGACCGAAAAGAAAGCTTAACTATCACATTAATACAAATGGCCCTTTTTAGGGCCACAAAATATTTACAAACGAAGGAAATATTACCTACCTCAAAAACATTGAATAATAGATACTAGTACAGATAGTTATTTTAAATAGTTAATATAATCTAATAAGAATTTCTTAAATAATTTTTATTTAATGTATTCGTAATACTATTCTCATGATTATTTCAACTTAAATAACTTATTATTTATTTCTACTTAACTTAAATTAATATCTACTGACTTATTTCTACTTAAATCATTTTTATTTAATAATCTTGTATTCGTAATACTATTCTCATGATTATTTCGAGTTTTTCGATATAGATTACAGTCCAGGTTCGTGAACAACCCCACATTACGAGCCAGCTGGCCTAGCAGATGCTTCAGCCCATTGTACGCGCCGAGGGTCGTGTTTCTGTACATAAAAGATTCTTTCGCCGGTTCCCCACAAAGCTGCGCCGAATTCTAACCGGAATTGTACAAAACCTGTTTCTGTATATACCAACCGATGAAGGATCCCTACCATATAATACAAAGGTCTACTCACGTCGACGCCACCTCGTTGTTCTGTGAATTATGTGTGAACTTTAGTTAACGTGAAATCAGTGGGCTCTTATCCCTTTCTACAAATTTATCGATAGAACATATACATACTATATGTATACTAACATTGGTTTTGTAGGAACGATTTAGATAAGCGCACCTTCGTGGACGAATAGCGAGAGAATCACGCTGTTTCCAAGGACAGATAAATCCCATCCAGCCCAACCCAAGATTTATGTATAATTTTTTCAAATACAAAATTTCTACCATTTTCTTGTTTTAGAATTAGTAATATTAGAAGTTAATAGAAATCCAGATCTGAATGCTTTGGAGACGTTTATGTCCTAAACCTTATTACAGATCAGGTCATAAAAGACGGATATAAAAGGACAAGCTAACCCTCGTTCACTTTCTTAAATCAATGGAAGACTAAAGGCATTCGTTAAATACGAACTTGTAAAAAAGTCGAAACATCAGGATATTATACATTGTAATTGATTTGGTGGCCCTAAAAAGGGCCGTTTACCACAAAAAAAAAATGTTTAAGCTCTCTCTCCTCGAATACGACGAGCCAACTGGATGTCCTTTGGCATAATCGTTACTCTCTTTGCGTGAATTGCGCACAGGTT